AAATTTATAAAAAGTTAAGTTTTAATTTTTAATTTATATAATTAATGATTTATTTAATACCTTCATTAATATTAATTCCATTTTCATTAATAATTTTATTTAATTCTTCTGGTGTTAATGTACCACCATCGGCAAATTCAAATTTTAATGCTTCAAAACTTGAATTAATAACTGAAAGAGTGGTATACTGAATTTCACTAAAATAGGATGTCAATTCATCAAATGGTTTTAGTACATTTACTAACTCATTTAATAATAACCATTCATGCTCTTTAAGCATAAGACTTTTTAATTTGCAAAAATCTTCTTTAGCACTATCTTCATTTTGTAAATGCAAAGTTGCAATAAGCCATTCAATTGTTAAACGTAAGATTAAAAGTCTTTTCTAAGATTGGTAAGTAGAATTCTATCGAGTTTTTACATTATTGATAGTACGCAAAATTTTAAATTCTGTTTCTTTAACTGTTTCTAAATCATCATTTATTTCTAATAAACTTTCAGTAGAATTATTAATTTTATTATGCTGATTTAAGTCAATTTGAGCTTGATCAAGACGTTGACTTTGTTTTGAGGATCTAAAAATTTAACAAGCTTTCAAAACCGTTTGGTATATGGTTTAATTTCTTTTAAAGCCTGAATGACTGTAAGTTGAAGTGTATGTGCAGAGCAAGGGAGACGTTCTACACCATTCCAAATTATAATAGCCTTTTTCATATTTTTCCTATTATCAGTTATTGCACAAACTATTTTTCCAGTTAATTCAAATTCCTCAATTTATTTATTTAAGTATTCTTTGATATGTTCACCAGTATGTGAATATTCTATTCTTTCAACAGCTAATATTACATCATATATTTCAAAATTAGAAGATAACCAATGAAGAGTTACATCAATGTACTACGTGCTGTCCATAATTCCGTTGTTATAGATGCAGTTTCACAAGTAATAGAAATTAACTTCTTAAGTACTAAAATGCCTTTTTGATAAGCAATTGCAAGATCTTTTTTAATACCTTTATTATTTGGCAAAATAAATGCAGAATCAAATCTTTGTATCATTTTTTTATATCCTTTTCTATGAAACAACATTAAATAGTAAGGAATCTGTAACTAACCATTCAGCTGTAACTTGTTTTAATTCTGCTTGTTTAAGTGCACAATGTGGAGTTACTTTTCTAATCATTTTATTGATATGTGTTTGAATTTTTTCATTATAATTCAATTGAAGATCATCTGGTGATGAAATTCCATGTTTTATTTGAAGATGTTGTTTTATATTACCAGTTCCACCATCATACTTATAATTTCTTTTGCATTCAACCTCTTCACCTTTTAGAAATATAATTATTTTACAAACATCATGTCTATTTTCAATTTGAAAATATTCCCAAACATAACTTGACTTTTTGGTTTTAGAATTATTATTGGTAAAATTTACTCTGA